AAATAAAAACATTTAATTTAAATAGTGAAAACACAAACATGGATACAAATAATACAGTGGGAAGTAATGGGCTCGCTCCAGTCACCAGTGCCAAAGCAGTCAATACAGTAAATCCTGTGGCCCAAGATAATATAATTAAGAACGACCGACCAATATCAAGGCCAAAAAATAAAAGTAGTGTGGAACAAGAAAGAAGTTCCACATCAAATAGTGGAGAAGACGTGGAATCCTTATGGCTAGAACTAGAAATGATGGACGCTAGTCGTAAACTAATTGTGGGTATTTGTTACAAACCTCCAAATATAGGGGAGGAGGGGGAGGCTCATCTACAGTTCGAAATAGAAATAGCTGGGAGGGAGGGCAATGTAGTAGTGATGGGTGACTTCAATTACCCAGATATAAATTGGGTTAATGGTACCTCAGGTTCGAGAAAGGCGGGCCGATTTCTGAACATGTTGCGAGACAATTTCATGGACCAGATGGTTGAGGTTCCAACTAGGAAAAATGCCATCCTAGATTTAATCATTACTAATAATGCAGAGTTAATTGAGGATACTGTAATTGGGGAGACACTGGGTATTAGTGATCACAATCTGATTACTTTCACTATTGGATACAGGAAAGGGAAGTGGGCTGGACGGACAAGAACCCTAAATTTCAGAAGGGCAAACTTTGATAAACTACGCCACTTAGTGGGGGATATCAAATGGGAAAACTTATTCCACAACCTGAACTCGGACCAAATGTGGAACTGCTATTGCCAAGTGTATACCGTTGGGTAACACAAGTAAAATATTGAAAACTAAGCCTGTATGGCTAAATAAAACGGTAAAACAACACATCAAGGACAAGAGAGCAGCATTTATCAAATATAAGATGGAGGGGACAGCATTGGCGTTCAATAGGTACAAAGAATGTAATAAAAGATGCAAACTAGTAATCAGGGCAGCTAGAATAGAGTGCGAAAAGTATATTGCCACAGTTAGTAAAAAAAAAAATTCTATCAATACATAAACAGTAAAAAGGTAAGAAAGGAGCAGATAGGCCCAATAAAGGATGAAAACGGGAGGATAGTCACAAATTACAAGGAGAGGGCCGAGGCGCTGAACACGTTTTTCTCCTCAGTATACACTCAGGAAGACGGGTTTAACGTACATGAAAAAACACATAATTCAGCACAAAATATAACTCAGTGGTTGACGGAAACCGAGATACTACAAAGACTTGCAAAACTTAATGCAAATAAAGCAGTGGGACCAGATAACCTGCACCCTAAAGTACTTAACCTCCCTGGCGGTATGATTATGTCAGGAATTTTGTACCAAATGGGATTACCGCCAGGGAGGTTAAAGAACTAAGCCAGGTTATAACAAAAACATTATTCCTCATTCCTCAAGGACTCTTTAATGACTGGTAAAGTTCCAAGTGACTGGAGGAGGGCTACGGTAGTCCCAATATTCAAAAAGGGGGCAAGATGCCAACTGGGGAACTATAGACCAGTTAGTCTTACATCGGTGGTATGTAAAGTGTTGGAGGGAATGATTAAGGACTATTTGGTAGAATTGGTAGCATGGGTTCAGGAAAGACGGTTCCTGCCAGACTAACCTGCTAACTTTTTACGAGGGGGTAAGTAGAAATCTGGATGGAGGGAAGCCGGTGGATGTGGTATATCTGGATTTCTCAAAGGCTTTTGATACAGTACCACACAAACGCTTGTTATACAAGCTGAAATCCATGGGAATAGATGGAATGGTGTGTACATGGATAGAGAACTGGCTACAGGAACAGGTACAGAGAGTATCGATAAATGGCAGCTTTTCAGAATGGGCTAGTGTCATGAGCAGTGTGCCTCAGGGTTCTGTGCTAGGCCCCATGCTGTTCACCCTATTTATTAACGACAACGGGGAGGGTGTGAATAGCAATGTTTCAGTGTTTGCAGATGATACCAAAATCGGGAGGGTAATAGAAACGGACCTAGACAGTTTAACATTACAGGAGGACCTGGATAAAATAGGGGAGTGGGCTAATATATAGCAGATGAGGTTTAACGTCGATAAATGCACAGTAATGCACTTTGGGATTAAAAATAAGCAAATGGGCTATACAATCATGGGTATGCCATTAGAGAAGTCAGAAATAGAAAAAGATTTGGGGGTCATTATAGACCACAGATTGATTAATAGCTTGCAGTGCCAGGCTGCTGTAAACAAAGCAAGTAGAGTCATGTCCTGTATTAAGAAGGGGATTTATTGCATAATTGTGCCACTTTATAGATCACTGGTTCGACCTCATCTGGAGTATGCGGTCCAGTTGTGGTCACCAGTCCACAGAAAGGACGTCCTTGAGCTTGAAAGAGTCCAGCGGAGGGCAACCAAACTAATTAGAGGAATGGAGGGCCAGAGCTATGAGACATGACTACTAAATTTAAACATGTTCACGTTGTAAGTAAGGAGATTAAGGGGGGACGTGATTTTCATGTACAAATTGTTCAATGGTGACCGCAACATTAGCAACTAACACCGTAACAAAGACTAGAGGCCACCACCTAAAATTGGTGGAAAACAAAATTCCAGCACAAGGGGCGAAGGGGGTTCTTCACAGTTAGAGCGGTTAGGGTCTGGAACTCGCTGCCGGAGGCAGTGATCTCAGCTAAGAATGTGGAATCATTCAAGAAGCTTTTGGACGATTTCCTGAGAAACCATAACATACAGGGGTACAGGTACACTTAAGAATGAACTGATACAAGGACCTGTGTGTGTATGTATGTATGTATGTATATATGTATGTATGCGTGTATGTATGTATATATGTGTGTGTACACACACATCAGCAATAGGTTGGACTTGATGGACTCATGTCTTTATTCAACCTCAAATACTATGTAACTATCAGTACAGGTTCACATGCATACCCCTGGACTCCTTCATTTGTTGGATTTGTGTGCAAGGGCTTTTGTTGGGATTCATTCAAACTACTTTTCTACCTATGCAGGTTAATGGGATTGCAAAATCAGCTTGAGCTAACTTGGAAGTCTAAATGGGGTATGTAGGAAGCCAGAAGCACACAGAAACATAGAAGGATTTCATAACCATCTCATATTGAATAAGTAAACAGAAGCATGCTGACATTTTACTGACCTGTGAAAACTATCTACCATTTTGAGTTGTCCTCGAAGCTCTTTTTTGTTCAAGTGGTCTAACATTCTGGCATCTACTAAGGACTCCATAAAGTAGCTGCGATACTGGGGTAATCCCAGACTAGGTAGCCAGTCATTACCCACCCATTCATGGTTCATGTCACCGTATGCCAGGATCTGTTAAACAAAATCAATGAGTATAATAGGTTATCCTTATTAACCCTTTTCCCTGCCAAGCCCTGCATTCCACTTTTAACCTCAGCAGGCCACACCAGTCTTGCAATTTTTCACCTTTTTTTAAATTTCATCTGCTGCTTTTAGAGTTTGTAAAAGACCCCCCAAACCATAAATTTCCTGAAAACAGTAGAATGAAAAGATGGTGCTACTAATTTTGTAGGTCCAGCGATAATTGCTCAAATGTTTATCAAATCAATAGTAAACCGCTAAAAATGCACAAATAAATGAATAAAAGCACACTAAAATCAATATTTTTCCGACTGTAAAAAACTTCTCATGTCTTCTCATGCTTGGGGAGAACTTCCCTTTGCAGCTGAGTGCCTCTTCCTGTAGTGCTGGCTCAGGTTGCAAACCTATACACAGACACCATGTATCCATTTCAGAGACAAGGCAGTCTGCTGCAAAACAGAAGTTCTGCCCAGCATGAGAAGAGATACAGATTTAAAAAGAAGAGCAGCAATGAGAAGGGAAACAACCATGGATTACAGTAAGGCACACATTACAGTATTGTTTTATGTAAAAAAATCTGAGGGTTTAATGTCACTTTAAGGGAACTGGCAGCTCATCTAGGAGTGTGCTCCAAGGACTTGGGCTCACACGTGGACCCCAACAACTGGGATTTCCTGGACATGGATATTGATCTGAGTTCCCTGACCCATCTGCTGCAACCTGGACAACAGCATGTTCTATGATGGCAGGGTGAGTGAGAGCTGTGATAGCAAAATGAGTGAGGGGGCGAGGAGGCTGTGTGTGTGTGCTGCAACAGGGCTGTGTATACAGAGAAGGGGGTGTACTGTGGGGGCAATTTGCTGTGTGCACAGAAGGGGCTGTACTCTGGGGACACACTGCTGTGTACAGAGGTGGGTGTACTGTGGGGGCACTTACTGCTGTGTACAAGGGAGAAGGTACTACTTCTACTGCACCATAGACCCCGCACAGGCCACCTGAGAAGCTGGCAGAAGTGATACAATGCGCACCTGTTACTATTTAAACAGGTGATTACTGTAACAGGAGTGAAAGACTGTCCGTAGCTATACAGTTCTGGGACACTTTCAGACCAAATGCGCACTGCTGCTGCAAGGGACAGAGGAGAGAAATGCAAGGACATAAGATCTTTATTAGTAGAACCCATGCTTCTCTTTGCAGCAGCTTGTGCTGTCACATCTGCTTTTCTCTTGGTTTTTCTCTAGCCTCTGTCTCATTCTTGTTTCTACCCCCTTGGCAGCGGTATCTCTTCAATTTATCAGCAGCTGACTAACAAGACCTCCCCTCTGCTCTGCTGAAACAGGAAATATCAGCACAGACTGAGTTCAGAGAACAGAACTATGACTCAGCAGAGCAGAATAAGGCTCCATTCTCACATGGTGTTTGCCACGCGGCACAAAAACGTGCAAATCTTAACATAAGCGCAGATTCCACGTGTTTGCAGCTATTACTATTGCCGGAACACAAGAAATCTGCCTGCAAAATCGCATACAGACTTTTTGGCGAGACGCAAGTTTTCGCACCACGTGGATGCCACCAGTGGCGGAACTACCGCCGATGCAGGCGGTGCGGACGCACCAGGGCCTCCGGCCACTCCTTAGCTCTGCCACTGGATGCCACTCTAGTGTGAACAATGCACATTGGAATGCATTGTTTTTTATGTTTAGCGTGTTTCTGTGCGAAAGCCGCTCATGTGTGAATGGAGACTTGGAACCTTAATTACTTAAATGTAAACAGTATAAGTATGTTTTCTACAGTAGTAGCATGAAAAAAACACCAGTATCCAATATAACGGTATCACTTCCCAGTGTCCAGCCTGCTGACTGAACAATGAATAAGCATGTAAACATGTTTGCAGTGTTTGAATTACAGCACTGCACAAGGTAACAGCACCTGATTAGCTTACTGAATTGGTCCACCCTCTCTCAGTCTAAGTTCTGCTGAGCACTAAAAGCCAACCAAAATACATATTTGTGTTACTTACTCTAGTAAATAACTGGCTCAAAGGGAGTTACTGTGCCTTGAGTTCAGCTTAAAAAAATTCTGTGAGGTAAATTTCTGTATATTAACCCAGTCACTACTGTTTTGGGTATTTTTAGCTAAAAAATACTAAGGTACAGTATAAGGAAAATTGGTGCAGGCTGGATGAAAATGGGGAGAGGCCGTATTGATAGTGGGGTGGATTATTATAAATTATCTGCCAAGGAGCAAATATCTGGTCACAAAGCCACATTGTGTGTGCAAAATTATTTTCCTTATTCAACAAGGTTGTATGGAAAATGATGTGACATGCACTACCATTCCTATGATTGTTCCTGGGTTAATATGATTACTGCCATTGTTTGTACAGTGTTACATTGCTATGACTGCAGTGTGTATTAATGAGCAATGTAGCTGGCGTAGTGTGCACATTATCTGCTGGTATTTGGCATTATATTTTATTAAATGTGTAAATGTGTAGCCCTTTGGATGCTGGAGGCCACAAGTAAACCCCCAAAATACAGCATGTTCGCTACCACTCCTACATATGCTCTAATGGCTCAGAGAAGTACAGCAGTAGGTGGTATCAGTAGCTTTGATCAAGAGCGGTTATAATAACAAGTTTAGAATTGATAATTGTTTACTTTTTTCATACAACAAACCAACCTACCTGTTCCCAGCTGATTTCCTTAGTCTCCTGACAGTGGTTAGATTGTTAAAAAGAACAAATCAGAAAGTCAAGTGGTGAGCTAGCAGCAAAAAAAAACTACTGCAGACATATAGGTAAACAAACATTAACCTACATGCAGACATATAGGTGAACTACTGCAGACATATAGGTAAACAAACATTAACATACATCATAAACATTTAAAGCACGTGCAAAGAGATTAAGAAGACAGGATAGAAGCAGAAGAGAACAAAGTATGAGCCTTCAAGAAAGATGCTATGATTTTTATTACGGTTTAGTTGCATTTTCATGTGAGGACAGAAGTACACATGGTTGAGGCTTGCTACGCAGGGTCACAGAGCTCTTCCTCCATAAAACAGAGGTCTGATAATCCAGGAGTATCACAGGATACACCCATTGCATGTCTGCAGCAAGCTAATAGAAATAGATATGTTTTTCATTATGTATTGAATGCAGGCCCGGATTCCCCACAAGGCCAGAGGCAGGGCGCAGAGGGGCGGCAAGCTGCTTTCTACATTTAGTCCTGCTTTGCACAAGCAGGGCTAAATGTTGAACGGGGAAGCCGATTGTACGTTTACAAGTGATCTCGGCGATGTCGCCGAGATCACTTGTAATAAGTTTGCAGCCTGTCTGTCCTCCCCTCCCCTGCACCTACCTCTCTCCTCGCTCGCTCCATCCTCCCCCTGCCACCGAGTCTCTCTCCTATCCCGAGTCCCTGCCGCCGATGCAGGGAGCAGAGCGGCAGGTGAAAAGTAACCCTGCTGCTCCGTGTACACAATGAGAGGGGAGAGCAGTCTTCCTCTCTCACCTTGCACAGGAGTTCCAGCACTATAGGCCGGTCAGTCTAACATCGGTAGTTTGTAAAATGCTAGAGGGCATAATAAAGGATTATCTGGTAGAATTTGTTCAGGAAAACGGGATAGTTAATGACAATCAGCATGGGTTCAGGAAAGACCGTTCCTGCCTAACTAACTTGCTAACTTTTTATGAGGGGGTGAGTAGAGATATGGATGGAGGGAGGCCGGTAGATGTGGTATATCTGGATTTCTCAAAGGCTTTTGATACGGTACACCAATTTGCCTGAAAATACTTTGAAATACACCAAAAAGTCAAAAGCCAGACAAGACAAGTCTTGTTTAGTTTGTCCCACAACCAACACTTACAAAAATGGTTATAGAGAACTATAATGATGAAGATTTTAATCTATGAAGTAAAAAGGTTGACTACTTACAGGCTTGGTTGTTGCTGTTAATGTTTCCATCTCTTCATGAGTCATCCAGACATTTCCTGTTGACTAGATGGAAAAAATGAATGCCTAATTAGTTATCTAGCCCCTAGGTGACATATATGGTAACATTCAAGCTGTGCGTTTACCTCTGCTTAGAGGAAACAGAATTCGGAAACAATTTAGAGAATCAAGAGACGCCACCAGTAAATACGTAAGGAGGAGTGGGTGGGAGGGTGTCAAGGTGGATTATAATGTGCAGCCCAACTTAATTTTTAGAAAATCCTGTGCCCTATCAGCATGCTGTAGAGGAGGACCCTCAGCCTTGTGTGAAAGTGGCTTCTGCAGAGTTTCAACATCGTCTCTGCTAAATGTGAGCTATAACTCTGCAATCAGCAAATCTCATGCCTCCTGCTGATTGAAGAGATCTAGGAGGGAGAGTGTTAATCCTTTGCAGAGAGACCACTGCTTTCACACAGAGAACAGGGGTTCTTCTCTGTAGCATGCCTGGCAAGAGACATGATTTTCTCCTCAGGCTCAGGATGCCTTCAAAGCTCCTTTACACAGACTCTGTTTAAATGTGTAAAGCCGACTGTCGGCTTTACACTGGAAGCATTTCTGGCAGCTAAGCTGCCACCAGATCTTTTCCAGGGGCCACTGAAGTGCACCCCGCCCGACACCCTGGCCTAGTTTCCAGGAGCCCCTCCTACTGCGGGCCGGGGACTTACATCACGGGCGTAGAAGCGGGGAGAGAGACCAGCAAAAATCCGTACGCCGATCTCCTCCCCGCTAAATGGGGCCAGAACCGATGCTGGTTGCATCACTTCCGGTCCCTCAGTTGTCATTCCCCGGCTGCAGAAGCCCAGGAAGAAGCTATTTGTGTGTGATCTGCATTCCAATAGCTTCTCTGGAGCGGAAAGGTGACACTAGGGGTCTAATAGGTTCTCTTTATGATAACATTAGGAGACTATCATCTCCAATATGCTATCAGATAGGGGGCTTGTAAGTCCCCTTATGTGATAGCAATTAAGTTAAATAATAAAAAAGTAAAAAATAAAATATTTATTTTAAAGTCCCCCCGCCCGCATATTAACATAAATATGCGTAGGGTGTATGAAAACGACGATTGCGCTATACATGTTTGGTGTTGCTGTGTGCGCCAGAGTGAGAGCAATATTTCTGCGGCCAATATTCATGGACATCACTAAACGGATGATCTGTACTGGCTTTTAAAGCATCGCCTATGAACAATTTGGGGTACCATATATTGTCGCCATTACACAGAATTATGTAACCTGAGCATGTTGGGTATCTTTATTAATTTATTTCCAAAACAATGGGTATTATTTTGTATTTTTGGGCAATAAAATTGACTTAAATGTATTTTTCTTTTGCACGCGCCGCCGCTTCCCTTTGCAGCACGCAGCTCTGTGTAAAGTGTGTCATCGGCTTGTGTTCACTGTCCGGCTGGCACACCCCATCTCTGCGCCCATGGCAGCCGCACCCTGCCCCCCCAAAGCTTACTCTTTGCTGAAGTCATCTACAAGCTGTCTTTGGTAAAATTATATTTTTGGTGTTAGTGACTTAGTGCATCATTTTGTGATACTGCAAATAGTTTATACCACTGATCACAAATGCAAATCGTTTTTTCTCCTTAATTATGATATCATCAACATGTATGCTGTCGTACATATCACAAAAAAACTTACACTTAAGCTGTTGATTATACATAATTGGGTGTATAATCACTAGAAATACTCAGGGACAGTCTCTATTGTGTTTGTTTGTTTTCTTCTGTGAAGGAGAGTGCCATCACCGAAGTTTGCCTACGGCAGCATTGAGCTTAAATACAACCCTGATTATAGCTGCTAGGTCTTGCATATAGTTTCTTTGCACCTATTGCTCCTCTAGGTGGTAGTAATACCCATGGTACCTGAAAATAATCCCTTAATGGACTCAAAGAAAATATTTTAGGCAAGTACAAAAAAATATTTTATTCCTGTCTGTGATGCTGTAGGTGATTGTTCCCTCACTTCCTGTCTGGTAAAATCATTGTCAGTAGTACAGTAAGAGAGGGTAAAGCCTTCTAATATCTAGATATCTGTAAGAAACCCAACTGGGGGTTTAGTCACCCTTCAGTCTATTAAAAAAAATGTAACTGGATATACACTTTGTCATATCAGTAAATGTATTTACTGTATATCAAGCTGGTCATACATACAGTACTGTGCAAAAGTTTTATACAGGTGTGAAAAAATGCTGTAAATTAAAGAATGTTTTCAAAAATATATATTTGTATTGTTTATTTCTATGAATTTGAATAAAGAAGAAAAATCTACATCAAATAAATATTTGGTGTGACTACCCTTTGGCTTCAAACCAGCATCAATTCTTAAGGTGCCCATACACCTTACGATTATCGGACGAAACTTTTCATCCGATGATCGAACCGTCGTACAATGGCCCCATCCTGCCCCTATTATCGCAAGCTTCAATTAGCGGTAGTTTAAAAAAAACCTGGACGACTTGCGGTAAATGACCGCAACTTTTTTTCGTTTGCGCATGCACTGACGGACGGACGGTCTTTTGACGGACGGAAACGCCACCAACCATGCGAACATCGTACGATCGACCAAAGTTTTCAAACATGCTTGACCATCAAAAGTCGTACGATTGTACAGTACTATCGGTCGTGCACTCTATTCACACAATACGATTGTCGTACGAAAAGTCGATCGCGTAGGATAATCGTAAGGTGTATGGGCACCTTTACACTTGCACAAATGCAGGGATTTTGTAGGATTAGAGTCGGTGTAAGATTAACCAATTATACCAAGCAGGTGCTAATGATCATCAATTTCATATGGAGGTTGAAACGCAATCATTAACTGAAACATAAACAGCTGTGGAGAAGGCCTAAAACTGGGTGAGGAACAGCCATACTTTGCTACTAAGGTGAGGTTGTGGAAGACAGTTTCTTGTCACAGGTCATACACCATGGCAAGACTGAGCACAGCAACAAGACCAAGGTAGTTATACTGCATCAGCAAGGTCTCTCCCAGGCAAATATTTCAAAGCAGACTGGGGTTTCGAATTGTGCTGTTCAGGCTCTTTTGAAGAAGCACAAAGAAACATTGAGGACCGTAGATGCAGCTGTCGGCAAAGGAAACTTAATGCAGCAGATGAAAGACACATCATGCTTATTTGCCTTCGACATTGGAAGATGTCCAGCAGTGCATTCAGGACTGAACTGGCGGAAATCAGTGGGACCCAGGTACACGCATCTGCTGTCCAGAGAAGTCTGGCCTGCATTGGTCTTCATGGAAGAATTGTGGCCAAAAAGCCATACCTCCAGGCGTGGAAACAAGGCTAAGCGACTCAACTATGCACAAAACATAGGAACTGGGGTGAAAAATGGCAGCAGGTGCTCTGGACTGGTGAGTCAAAATTTCAAATAGCTGGCTGTAGCAGGAGGCTGGAGAGGGCTCTAGAACAGTACAGTAATGAGTGTCTGCTGGCAACAGTGAAGCATGGGGGAGGTTCCTTGCAAGTCTGGGGCTGCATTTCTGCCAATGGAGTTGGAGATTTGGTCAGGATCAATAGTGTCCTCAATGCTGAGAAATACAAGCAGATACTTATCCATCATGCCATATCATCAGGGAGGCACATGATTGGCCCCCATTTATTATGCAGCAGGACAACGACCCCAAATATACAGCCAATGTCATTAGGAACTATGTTCAAGTAGTTTTGGAAGTGATGGTTTGGATCCCACAGAGCCCTGATCTCAACATCATTGCGTCTGTCTGGGATTACATGAAGAGACAAAAGGATTTGTAGTTAGTTCCCCAAACTAGATCAACCTACCTGCTGAGTTCCTTCAAAAAAAGTGTACCTCGAAGAACTGATGCTGTTTTAAAGGACGAAGCTTGTCATACCAAATATTGATTTGATCTGGATTTCTCTTCTGCACATTTACTTTCCAGTTTGTTAACTGATAAAAATGATCTATTAACACTTTTATTTCTGAAAGCATTCTTGTTTTATAGCATTTTTTCACACCTGCCTAAAACCTTTGCACAGTACTGTATATCTAAAAAAAACATGTAATGGTCTATAGAGGATCTGATGGACTGGAAAATGTAGTTCAAGCTAATATAATTTTTTGCTTGTACAACACTGTTAAGCCACTTTTCAGAAGGAATGGTTGTATAAGTGGTACATGTTAGAGTAGGGAAGAGTTAAAACTGTCAGATATTACTGATATTTTAGTCAGTGAAAAGATTTCCACTCATATCAATCAAACATCAATACAAAATGCAGCCAGACAGACATTCACACATCCTCTAAAACTAAAAGAAAAAAAGTTTTAGCTTGACTTGAATTTCAGTGTTCCAAATCCCACAGTAATTGCGTACTTTAACCATAACATGAGGTCTTACCGTACGCGATGTGGCTGGAGCAGATGGACTCGTAAGTGAAACCATTTCCTGGATGGCGAGGCGCAGTTTTAGTCGGTGGAGAGGGTTGCTGATACCAATCTCACGCTGGATTTCTGTATCAGACAAGTTGGCCATAATAGAGCCACTTTTCACATTGGCACGGCAGGCAGCAACATACCAGGCTGGCATACCAACCCAGAGCTGAGAAAACAGGGACAAAGTATCAGACCAATGATTTTACTAAAATAAATAAAATTTTCTGAGTATATACAAAAGTACAGTTTTGCGGGGCTCCGTAGAATACAGAGCAAAAACAAGAAAAGCACATTGTTACTGGTCTTTGAAAAAAAAAATTATTGCCAAGTGATATCTTTTGGTGGCTAACAAAAAATATTTAAAAATACAAGCTTTTCAAGCTGTAAAGCTTCTTCCTTGGGTATTATGACAGATAAAATGCATAAATGGGAAAATATTCAGAAATACTGTGTATAATCTGACAATACATTACATCTGTATTTATTCATGGCTAACACATGAAATCATATTTTTGCTTGTTTTTTGATGCCAAAGAGATACTATAAAATGCAATTTAAACATTACCTCCAGCCAAGAAACAACAGTGGGTCCATCCCAGGCAGCAAATGGAAGGCCTTGTCGACAGGCTTCCTCCAAGAGTTCATGCCTGAAACAGAAATGGCAACATATAAGGTTTCATACTTCAACTAAAATTCAGTCATTTACTACAAACTTCTCAAACTCTTCATAACAGAAGGGGTAGTCAGCCTTAAAGAGCAAGCATGTTTGTATTTTCAAGATGCATTAGTTTAACCCAATATGCATTGGTCAGTAGAAACCATGACCTGTTTTGGACAGACAGGGCTTTTGTTAAGTCGCAGATTGCAGTATTATCTTTTAGCTCTGTAAGCCTTAGATAGAGATAATAAGAATATTGCTCCACATTATATGGTCCGGTCCTAGACTGTCAGACTTTTGACACAGGGTCAAAAATATATCCCAAAGATTTGCAGGTTACCATATCCCTCTAGAACCATTCTTTTTCTTTTTACACATACAGGAAATTGAATGATAAGTAATTCTCAAAACGCAGATACAATGTGTACATGCTCGAGAGATGAGTCTCCACATCTCATGTAGCTCAACAAAGTAAATGATATTAGGTGAATGGACCGCATGACTCACTCCTAAAAGGACAAAGAAGATATATTTACCAGGACTTGGTATTACTAAATTTGCTCCGCCTTTTCTGAATCTGACTCCTTTTCCTTCTCCACTCCCCTGACCCCCTTTTTTCGAGCATTCCTCATTGGTTTCACACTCTCCTACCCCCTCTTTTTTCCATGTTCTGCCCCCCTCCCCCATTTCTGTTTGCTTTCCTCTACTGGCTCTTTACTCCTAACAATCTACCTCCCTTCTATTGCTGCTTTCCCTCCCCAAGGGGTATTATCATGCCTATTCCCTACAATTCCTTCCTGGTATTATGCCCCTATTTCTTGCTTTCCCTGTAGCCTGACTATACTTAGCTACTGAACAGCCTCCTTCTATCGTTTTCCTTTATCTTCATCTCCGTTCCTTAAAAAATATTGAAAATGAAACCAACACTAAAATTAGAAATTAAATAATAAAAGTAACTTTTATTATATAAATAATCAATGACTATGTGCCTTTTTTGTCATTGTTCAGCTCTAAATGCACCCGCCCACTGCTGCTGTCAATCAGCAGAGGTGGACCTGAAGTTCCCTATCAGGTCCTCCTCTGCTAATTGAAATAGATTGAAATAGCCAATAGCAGTCTAGCTATTCATTCCCATGTTGTCAGTTGTTTTTTTTCTATTTGTTTTCTGACGGCAGGAGGTGTCAAGATACAAAAAAAAAAACAGCAGATAGCAAGGGAAGCATTAGCTTCTCTGCTATCTGCCATCACTTCAGGTGGATGGTGGGGAGGGCACATCCCTGAAATGAGAAGGGCACCTCCCTGAAATTACTTTTTTCAAGTTGGGATGCACATTTATGAATTGTGTATCCCCTGAGGTTTTGCTCCTTTTCGTTTGAGCGTATTATGTTCTCTTATTGTTTGTAAAGTGAATAAAGAATCAGAAAAAAACAAAAAATTGCACATACAATTTCTTCACTTTTTTCCTAAAGCTAATTTTAAGTAGTTGGGGCAATCTGTAAAATTGACTCCAGAAAGTTGATAGTTTTCTTCCTGTTGCTTCTCTTCCGCAGATACTTGGGAGGGACTAGCAAAGTTGGGTTACGCAAGGTAGTCCATTGCTATTTCTTAGTGTTCATTAGTCAAAGAGGTTTTTAAAAAATATACTGTCAAAAGTGTGCCTGATCTAGATGAGTCCGCCCCTGGACAGGGTTATTGGTATACATAACTCTCCAACCTCTCCTTAACATTACGTAGTAGGGCAAAGCTAAGTATAGATTTTTAACTGCAGGTATGACTCTGAATATCACATAAGATATGTCAGTGTTTATCTGCTAGAGGGCAAGCAGTGACTCACTAACACAATTTACACCTGTTCAGAGAGCATGAATTTTATCCTGGATGTGTCTGTTCCACAAGTAGAAAATAGACCTAGGTAAACATCATATGAAACAAACTGCTACTGAAAACAGATGGTGTTCTGTATAAGAAAGTGCTAAGAAGATTCATGAAGAGAATGTATTGGTACTAACAGACTTAAGGTCACATTTCTCCAGGAGGATCAGATGCTACTATGAAAGGGAGAGAGACACCTACTGGGTATACCTCACAACTGTTCTAGAGCTTGAGTTTAACTTAGTGCCCTAAGGAGGAAACACACCCCAGCACTGCTGGATCAAGACCTGTATGAGGAAATTCTTTAGTCAAGCAGCTGCTGGTAGTTTCAGGTTGGATATCTCAAATACTTGTAGTCTGTCCAGCACGTCAATTAGCACAGTGTCTTCATGATCAATTAAAATCAGTTTTTCTTTCTGGGACATCTGTGCAATAGATGGTCTCTGTACTGGGTAACAGGCCAGATCCTTAAGGCTGGGTTCACACCTAGCCGTATTGAATATGCGCGTCTGTCGCGCGTTTTTTTTACCGCGATTCACGGTAAAAAAGTCACGCGATTCCGAAGGCTACTTGGCTGTATCCCAATGTAAAACGCCCTACAAAACGGCCCAAAGAAGTACATGTACTTGTTTGAGCGTAGGCCGTTTTGTAGGGCGTTTCAGACAGGCGGAAATACGGAAAGGTGTGAACCAGACCCATAGAAAACAATGGGATTTTCATGTTTGTACGTTTTGTTGAGCGTTCATAGAGCGTTGAACGCGTGACAAAACGTAAAGGTGTGAACGGGGCCTTAGGGCCGTGTAAGATAGACAATTTTGTAGCAGCACCTCACCGAGACAACTTGGTAATGCCATCTATTAGTGATTTGTAGCTACCGATGTAACTGCTACTGATTCGACATTAAGGCCTTGTTCACAACAAATGCAGAGCAGATCTGCTCAGGTTTATGCGCACGCAGTGCAGTGGGTTGTGCCGTGTTTTTACCGCGTTCCGGCCCGTTTTTGGTAAGGAATTTTTTATTTTAACATGGGCTTTCAGTGCGTTCTAGGCATTTGCATGCGTTTTTAATGCGTTTGCATTCGGTCAAACTCCTGCTACATGACACTATCTCTTTCATTGATTTGTAGATGTGAATGCAAAGTGTTTGTCACTGGTGAGCTTGCGACAACATGAATTTCTGCAAAACTTGACTGCGGAGTGAAGGAGCTACAAATTGCTTTAAAATTAACAAGTTAGTAATTCCTTCGAAAATAACTATGATTTCCGCATTTAAAATAAAAAAAGGATAATTTAAAAAAAGGAAATGATTATGCATGATACAGTCCTAAATCTGTGAAGGAGGTAAATACACTGTTCATTGATCCCATATTGGTCCCTAAGGAAGAGGGGGGGGTTAAGTAAAGTGGCTATCTTTTATTAGACAATTAGGACCCTTTTGTTTCACTGCTGTTAGGCTAGCAATGCTTTTCCCGCACCTCCATCCACCATTTTGTTGAAGGGCGTATGCCCTCACCATAAGGTCCTTTCATCTTTTACCTGGTAAGGTAGATCTCTTAAACTGGGAAGTGCTTTACAGACACGCAGCCAGCAGTCTTTTTGGCCAGTTTGCTGCACTGCATCTGTCTCTTGCAATCTAGATTGTTTTTACATTTTGTGTTAGCTGACAGACACTCTACCGCTCTTTTGCTGGGTACACAGCACTGCTTTACCTACCACTGAGAGCCTCCTGCATTTCTTTGGACTACAGCCTGATCACCCCAGTACCTTCAGGGGTGGTTAGGCTGCTTGTTCTGCTTGTGCTGGATATATTAAAGTAAAAAGAAAGGCTATGCAATAACCCACTTTTAAATGTTACCTCCCCACTACTCTTATATTTGTTGTATACAGTTCGTAATAAATCTCAAATAGCCGTGTTTAAATGATATATCTAGAGGTCACGTGTCTGCAAAGCTCCAGCGAGTATGCTTGGCTGTTTGGCATGCATCACATGACTGCTGGTACGGTTTGTTGGGTGCTATTCAGATGAGTAGCTTCGAATCGCACCATGCATGTTAGCACAGAATGATGAAGGAAACTGGCCCTCAACCATAAACAATGGCCATAGACTAATTCTTCTTAACCTTCTTACTCTTGTGTGCTCGTCATTCTACGAGCACGTTGACATAGGTGGGAATAAAAAATCTTTTTTTACTTTGACGATTTGTTTTCACTTCCATTTTTTACATTTTTTTTTTTATCTCAAGAGGGTTGACAAGCCCTATTTGATAGCAATTTTATGGTGACAGGTCCTGTTTATGAAGACATTAGGGATCTATTATGCCTTAATATCGCTTCTGTACACTGCCGAAACAGATTGGACATAGAGTGTCCGTGATCTGTTGATTCCCTCACCACAGAGGCCAGGATCTGATGGCTCTGAACATGGAAGTTCTCAGAGCTTAGCTCTTCTGGGCTCATGTCTCATGGGGAAGATTGAAGAACATATGGGGGGTGATTTACTAACCTAAACACACACACACACACACACCAGGTGTGTGTGATTTTCACACAGCAAAACGTATTTATCAACCAAAAAGTCTCTAAAAGCATATTTCCACTAATGCCATATATGGAAAAATCATGCACATGATGCATATATAATGCTGCTTCATAGTTTAGACAAAAATGGTTAGCTCATGCATTTACATTCCTGCATTCATCAACGCAAGCAACATAACAGAGCTAATTTACACCACATTACCTTGCAATTCATTGCAGGGCTTTGCACAACACACCTGCTGGGTGTGTACACACTACAAAGGTGTTTCGATTCCTCCCACAGATCATGCTGGGAGGGAACACACTACAGAGGTGTATACACGTTCGTGGTGTGTTTAAAAGGTTAGTAAATCAACCCCATGGTCTTTTGATCTCTCTGCATCCTAACCTCAACAAAGGTCATGGACATCCTGGGCTCCCACATGACACAGTTGAGCCCAGGAGACATTGAGGGAGGGGCTGCATGTTTCCTGACCTAAGTGATTATGTGGCTGTACAGCTGCACGAATCACTTCTATTGCAAAGCATTCTGCCAATAGAATAAAAAGTAAACAAACTTTTAACTGCCATGAGTTTGTT